ATTATTACAAAATTGTATTATATAAGAAACAAGAATTTGTTTGTTTATCATATTTAAACCTTCTTTAACAGAATAATAAACACATATCAATTAAATGAAAATAGTTTTTATTGTCTTATTATTTTCTATTACAGTTACTGGACCAAGTGTTTGCAATCTTTTCATTGGACTGGCTAAAACTCTTATAACCTCCTTATAAGTAAATGTGCTGATAGAATAAAAAGTTATATTGTTATCTCTGTGGTAATGTTGTTGGGTTTATTGGTCAGCTCTATGAAAAAAAAACTACTTTCATTTAGACTTAATACACTTAATGACCTTATTCAAAGAAAAGTAGGTCCTAATACAATTGTTTTCAAATGAATGCTTGATAATCATTTTAATTGATTAATCAACTCATTGTAATAATATTTTATTTTTACAAATACATCTTTAAAGAAAAATAATTTTTAGATATTTACTTCTTAACTTAGTTTAGACTGTTTTAATGTGTAATCATTTATCTTAAAATATCGAGATGAAAGAATTGTATTCTATTTAATCCAGATGTAAGAAATATATTACTAACTGATCATTTAAAGTAAATTATTTTTTAATTAAAGAATGAATGTATTTCTATATCAGATATTTTACTTATAAACCAAACCAAATTCCATTATACTATTGTCAATCATCAAATTTTTAAATATAATAGTGTATTAAACAGAAAAAAATGAAAGAAAAAGAATCATTATATTATTGAGAATAAAAAAGAAAATTTTTAAATAAAAATAAACAGAAATTAAATACACATCATCATAAATTATAACTTCTTCTTGAATTGTATTCAATTTTTTGAACTCATTACGTTATATATTAATCAATTTTCAAATTATTTGATAAACAGATGTTAGTTCATTTAATTTTAACATGTTAGTATTTATTAAAATAATATTGAATCTTGATGATGAATTATATACAAATATTTAACAGTGATTATCATAGTATAAATTAATAACATTTTTTTGAGACCAACATTAAAAATGTAAACATATTTGTTGTTATTTGATTCACTCAATAATATTTAAAAAAAAGAATTAAATAGGAAATTGTAGATGCTTAGTCTTTCACTCTTTTTCTTATTCTTTTCTTATTTCAAATAGTTCAAATAGTAATTATTTGAAAGAAAATTAATAAATGTTAGTATAAAATATCTTTAGTTTAATGTATAAAAGTATTTAACAAAATAAATGAAGATAAGTAAAACAAAATTACTAGTTGGTAAAGTTTATATCTAATAATTAACAATATTATTTTATGAATTAGAGAAAAACTGTAATCGATGGAGAGTAATAAAGAAAATAATACCACTGAATAAATATTAGAATATCTAAATAAATTTCCCAATATAAAAATTACAAATTGATATTAGATATTGATTAATCTCATACAGTTAAATTGATAACTTTATGTAAAAAAGATTTAACAATTATACTGTAAATAATATTTTCATTAATCAGACAATAATCTAGTTATAATTTTAAATAGTTACATCACACAATACAATTCAAGAAGAAGTTATAATTTATGATGATATGTATTTAATTTCTGTTTATTTTTATTTAAAAATTTTCTTTTTTATTCTCAATAATATAATGATTCTTTTTCTTTCATTTTTTTCTGTTTAATACACTATTATATTTAAAAAAATTGATGATAATATCAACAACAGAAAATGAAATTTATTATCTGTCAAGTATAGTTGATATCAAACTTGATACGAAGGTAATAATACTAAATTTTTAATAAATAATAAAATAATAATACATTTATTTAAATAGTAAACAATAAAAGAAGGATAATACACTGTAATACTCTAATATAGAATATTGCTAATATATTAAATTTGTTGTAATATAATTTATTTAATAAAATTCCTAAGAATTTATATTTAGTTTTAATAAAATTGTAGAACAATAACAAAGAATTTAAAATATATAATGAATAAAAAGAACCAAATTTCATTATGGCATAATAAAATGGACTATGTATTACATTTCATTAACAATTGATTAAAACATTTTCAAACGAGACTCATTCAATTTAAAACTTATAAGGAAATGATTTATTATTAATAACCATAAACATAATGAAAATATAATTGTTTATGACTAAAATAATTTTGGTCTATTTCAATAATGAAAGGATGTTCAATTTTTAGAACTAATCAATACAGTGATAATATTTAATGTAATTTAATATAATTATTATTGAATAAGTAAAGAAGAATACGAAAAAATTAATTTCACTTACGTGAGACCTAACACCATTATTTTATTTATTCATTATTGATTTGGAAGTAAACATTTTATAATAACAAAAAATAACTTGTGTTAAAAATTATTACAAAGAAATGAAAATAATAATTTATTTATAGGAGAAAATAATTATTTATTTGTTGCAAATAAATTTTTTTTATCACAACAATTTTTTTGACTAATGAAATTGTGTTATTAAAAAAATAATAAAGAAATAATTAAAATATGATATTAAAAAAAAACATAATGAGATAAAAATAACTAAAAAGAATAATTTAGGAATTAGAAAAAAACTAAACCCCAAATCGCAGTAGAACTTGAAAGGGTTTTGTTAAATTGCAGGTTGATGTCTGGAAAGGCCAATAAGCAAAAGCAAACAAAACAAACCAACCCACTTATCGTTGCTAATAAAAAGGTATTTGGAAAAGGTAATGTAGCTCATCCACGTGATTTGACCAGATATGTTAAATATCCATTATATGTTAGAATTCAAAAAGAAAAGAGATTATTAATGAAAAGATTAAAGACCCCACCAGCAGTCAATATCTTTGCTAACCACACTCTTGACAAAACCAATGCCACTCAATTATTCAAGATTCTCGACCACATTAAACCAGAAGAAAGAGCTGCTAAATTACAAAGAATTAGAGCTGCTGCTAAAGAATTAGCTGAAAAAACACAAAAAGGTGAAAAAGCTACTGCTTCAAAGAAAACTGAAAAACCAGCTACTCTTAGTTATGGTATTAATAATGTTGTTAGATTAATTGAAAGAAAACAAGCTAAATTAGTTGTTATTGCTCATGACGTTGAACCATTAGAAATGGTTGTTTATCTTCCATATCTTTGCAAGAAATTACAAGTCCCATACTGCATTGTTAAAGGAAAGGCTAGACTTGGACAATTAATTCACAGACCAACCGCTGCAGTTGTTGCTGTTACTGAAACTAAGAAAGAAGACAAAGCTGCATTTGAATCACTTGTTCAAAATGTCAAATCTATTTACTTCGAGAATGCTCATATGTACAGAGAATTCGGTGGTAGAATTAATGGATTCAAACATAATGAAAAACAAAAGAAGATTCAAAATAAACTTAATAAAGATCTTGCTGATAAAGCAAAACAACAAGCTGCTTTAACTGTTACCACTGCTGTCGAAGAAAAAGCTGCTCCAGTTGCTGAAGAAAAGAAAGCTGACAAAACTGCTTAAATTTAATGGGTTGTTCTATCGCTTCGCTTATTGAAATTTTTAAATTTGTTTTTCTTTCTTTTTCATAATTTATGAATAATATAAAAAGATTATACAATAATAACAAAATAATCTTAAAAACCCTTTAGTAAAATTTAAAAAATGTTATTTTAGAACTTACAAATAAAAAAATTTAAATTAAAGAATATGGGAAACATCACATTAGAAACAGAAAAGGGAATTGCTATAAGTGTTATATCAATTTCTAGTGTGTTAACATCATTGTTATTATTATACTTTATATGTACTGTTATTTTACAATATTGTAAAAGATGTAAAAAAACTAAACAGTATAAATTTTTAGTACAACCACCATACATAACACCTAGAAGGATATGTCATTTCGGTATTTTTTGTTATGTGCTATGTCAAGTTAATTTTATTGCATGGGAAATATATTATTATTCTTTTACACTATTAACAGATAATTTTAATTCATTAATTTACATTTATTGGTATGAAATGTCTAATTTATTAGATACAACAACTTTTGGATTAATGATTATGCTTACAGTAATTGCACTGTTTGTTAAATTAATATTGAAGGTTAATTCTCAAAAGTAAAATTATATTATTTATTGTCATAGGAGATTACAATTAGGAAGTATGGTCACTCAAGAAAAAAGTATTTTATTAAAAATATTTGATATCTTTTGGACTCTTGGGATAGCAACATTACTAATAGATTCGTTAGTCCATTTTGTTTCATTAATATATATTATGTTTATTCCATCTGATTTATTCTATGATTTATTTGAAGTTTATTTTAAGATAAGAACAATATATACCAATGCAGGACTATCTTTGTCTTATTTTTGTTTGTTGTGTTTTATATTAATGTTAGTCTTTATGTATCGTATTTTTCGTGTTTATAATGCTCGTGAATCAAGAGAAATTAAGATAAGAACAAGTATTTGTGGAGGGTTGATAGCTCTTTGTATTTTATTACGTTTTTGTATGTGTTTTACTCATGTTGTTCAATATTTTAATGAGTTTTCAACTCCAAGTGAAGAGAAAAAACCAGGAGATGAATCTCATTTTTTAATTGGTTGGGCTGATATTCCTCTTATTATTGGACTTAAATTTTTACCTTCATTTTTAATTATATTGATGATGAATAAACCACAACTGTGTTAACAGATTTAATTGATTTGTTTCTCTTTTAAAATAAAAACCAAATAACTATTTTAGATTTTATTCTGTTCATAATATTTCTGAAACCTTTTAATAAATAAATAATGTAAGCTCAAAAAAAAAAGAAGAAACAACCCAAATATTTCTAAAACCTTTTATTGTTTCAAGAATGGGGTATACATTAGCTTTAAAGAGTGTGCTTTGTTCCCTCTATTCTTACATTGAAGGAATTTCTTCATTTCATATGTTATATAAAACATCATTTTATTATTTATTTTTTAGAAGAGTTTTATTTCCTTTATTCACAATAAATAAATTAAAGTTTAAATTAAAGTTTATTGAAGATAAATCGAGAAATTGTATTAAATTGAATAACTATTTTATTTTTATAACTTCAATATTTCAAATATTGTCCAATGAATGCATGAGATAAATGATATTGTCCTATTCATTCTCTTGTTATTTTGTTCATGGTATTATGATATTTAGTGTTTCATATATAAGGTATTAATTATAGAAGATTATTCAAATACAAGTCATGAAATTTGTTCATGTTATGTAGTAAAGTGTTATGATATAAAAATGTTATAAATGATATTAGGAATAAGAAAGAACTATTTAATT